CAGCATAAAATAGAATATTAATATATTTGATAATAGTGTTATTTATATTAATTTTAACAGTAACTATATAAGCAATACTATTAGTGAAGTGAACAAAAATATCAATAACATCTTTATTACTGTTATTGATATTAATGTAAAGGAAAATAGCTTGTGCAGATCAATAAAAAAATAACAAATCTAGTAGATATAACAAAGTTATTAAAAATAACAGTATTTACAGAACATACTAAATTAACAGCAGATGCAGTAAAGATGCTTATTGTATTAAAAGTTGCTCAGAACTATAGCAGAGAAAAATACTTACCAGAGTGAGTTCTGAGCCTGTCTAGGGTAAGCCCAGGGAAGCAACATAAGTACAGACACCCTGGCTACCCAGACACCCAGGGCCAGTCCCAGGCCTGATAGGAATTTGCTGATGCAGCTAAGAATATTCTTAAATTTAGTAGTAAAGATTCACATTCAAGATATCAGAGTTAATACTATAAAATTAAGATATATTCAGAGCAGAAAAGTGAGAAAAGCATCTGATTTTTTATATATAGTAGTATCAGAAAGCTAGCAAGTCTTTTAACATATGAAAAAGATAGCAAATATGTCAAGTCACTAGAAATCTAGCTGGATTTTTTTTCTTAAATACAGAAAAATTAATAAAAACTGCTCTGATTTGTAAAATAGTTTATATTATAGCTTATTTCTAGTTCAAAAACTTAGTTACTATAAGTATTTGAAAAGCTACTTTTCACTAATTAATTCTGATTTCTCAGCTATTAAACAGTATAGAATATACTAGAATTTAGTGGAGATTAATTAGAATTTGCAGAGATTAATTTGACTCAGCTATCAAGAGTATCAAGTTGATAGAGCTGAGTTAGTGCTGGTGCAAAGCCTAAAAAGTAAAGATCAGATAAGAAGAGATAAGAAGATATGATAAAAGTAGATAAGATTAAGATAAGAACTCTAGCTTACTTAATACATCTCAATAAAAATATAAGTAAGTAAGAGTCTTGATAAGAAAAATCAAAATAAACAAGTATCTGGTAAGAGATTTTTCAGATAGAGATAGTATAATAACACAACAAATAATAGAGATGTAATAAAGAAAATTTGATAATTTGTATAAAGAGTGCTATTGAGATTGTCTTTTAAAATCCAGATGAAAAGATTATATAATTGCTGAGTAATAGTATGAGAAGCGTTTCTGACAAGTATAAAGCTGGCACTATTTATTTTTACTTATAATTCAACAACTTGCAAGGCAAATTAACTAAGAATTGAAGAATTCTTAGGTAGAGAAATAGCTTTCAAATAAGTGTAGTTTCATCCAATTTTAACAAGAATTATGCAGTGTCTTGTAGTGTTGGTGAGATGAAATAAGCTGCTAGATAGACTTTATAGTCACTGACAGCATAAGACTATAATAAATAATAATAATAATAATAATAATAATAATAACAATAATAATAATAATAATAATAATAATAATAATAATAAAAATTCTACAAACACTTAGCAATTTCTACTAATTGCATCAACAGAAGAAGAAAATCAAGCATCTTATAGAACAGATACTTGAGAGTCTTTCTGATTTAGAAAAAGATCTCAATTTAATTATTAAAGCCTGTGAATATAGTATAACTAACACCACTATTATAAAGAAGCAATATCAGAATATATTTGCTGCAAATAAGAAAGAGAAATAAAAATACAAGAGATTTACCTACAGAATTTAACATAAAAAAGATCTTACTAGAAAAGAAGCTTAGAATCTTATTATTTCTTGTGCTCAGTCTGTTGAACAGCCAGTTATTCAAGTCCTCCCATTTCATACCCCAGAGCATATACCATGACTATGAGCTTTACCAAAGTGTAGCAATTGTGGTATACTCAGGTATATAAGATTAAGATGTGCAGAATCTAATGTAATTTAATTTACTTTAATTATTTGCTGCTCAGCATAGATAATTTAGGTTAAAATCTAGTTGTAGAAATATATTAAATTTGGTAAGCCACTCAGTGGTGTAAGCTGCTTGAAGGTGAATTATATTAATCAATTAAGGTAGTTTATCACTAAACAAGTCACACCACTAAACAAGCTAAATTTTGCCAAATGCTTCATGCAATAAATTTATTAAACATCTTAACAACCAGATCTTTATCATTAAATAGCTATTAAATATTAAATAAATGTATTCTTTAAAGCATAGGAATTAGTACAGTTAAGAAAATAAATAGGTGGATGGCCTAATATTACAGCCAGAGTAAGAGATTTAGGGGTAGATAGAAAAGAATTCAAAGAAATATCAACAGTAGATTTCTTGACTAGAGAGTCTAATATCTTGCTAGAGATACTTGTAGAGCTCTTATTTCTTCTTTTGAAAGATTATATAGACTTTCTATAATAAGACTCTTTAGTAGAGAAGTTCTTTTAATAATGCTTTGAAGCTGGTGCTTGAAGTTTTGACTACTGATATTTATTAGTATATTTAACTATCTGTTTTTTCTTCTCTACTAGTTATATAGTTTTCTTCTTCTTATAAGCAACATATTGTACCTCTTTTTATCTAGCATATTTAATTTTTTTGATCTCTTGTTACTTGCAGATTTTTTTACAGATATTCTTCTGTTCAATCTATTTTTTTTAATATTTCTAGCAGTTTACTTCTTTTAAAGCTTCTGTTGGAGCTTTACTTCTTGTGTTTAAGTAATTTTATCAGCTTTTTCAGTCTTTATTTTATTCAGATACTTGTGTATCTTAAGAACTTTTGTTGAAAATCAGAACTGCACTTAACTAGAATTATCTTTATTAAGTAGATCTAGAAGCTTGTCTTGCTTGTAGTGTTATTTCTTTATTACTAGAGTTAATCTTAGATACTGATTCTTATATTCCAGCAGTTTATTATAAAGAGCAAGCTGCTTACTAACTTGAATAATCTATTTAATACTTTGTGAATTTAGGCTGTGCTAAAGATATATACTCTTGATCTCTTGTTGAAGCTGATGTATATTACTAGAACTAAAAGATTTAACTAATAGTGTAAAAGTTTAAGTAGTTTCAAATTAATATAGTTAATATTAAGAATTTAGAGAATTAATTTCAGTCTTTGCAAAGTTAGTAAGTATATTTTTAACTGTTAAAGTCTTCTTTTAAGCTACATTAAATAGTCTTCAGAAATCTCTTTTTGTTATTTAAATATAGCTTATTCTATAATATAGTAGTGCTTTCAGCTTGTTGAAATATATCTTGCCCAGTAATCTAAAAATTCCAATATCAAGAGATTATAAATAGTAAATTAAATATAGTGAAAGAATTATAAAAAGAATCTTTTTATAATCAGTATATTTAATAAATTTTATATTTATATAGAAGAAATGCTTATCTAGTAGAAGCAGATATCTTTCTTAATCAGCTTGTTTCTTAGTATGCTGATTGAAAATCTGTTTTAATTATTTTAGTTCATATTTATCATTGCTTTAATTATTTATTAAAGCTGTAAAGTAGATTTATTTGCTTTCATTATAATTATCTAGTTATATATTTTGAAGATCTTGTGATTTGCTCTGATAAATAAGAGCTGAAGATAGTGCAATTTCTTTAGCAGAGACTAAGCAGAATAATAAGAGAAATTTCTAACTATTATTCTAAGTAGTAATATCCTTTCCAGCTTGTAGAGCTTTAATAAAAACTAATTACTTTAAGATATGGCAAAAGTCTAGAAGAAATTCTTTCTTATTAAAGTTATAGATATTTAAGAGCTTAAGATTATATTAATTAATTTTCTGCTTCAACTACTTTATAAGTAGTAGTTAAATAGTTAACCAGTATCAACAACTGCAATTGCAACTAATTAAATAAATTATTAAATTATAAGTATATAGAAGTGCTTAAAGTACTAATAGTTATCTGCTATCTATTTATTTTAATTAATTGCTTTAAGATAAATATATTTAATTTTGTTATTATACTGCTTGTGAAATTAATTAACTTAGTTAATTTTAATATTTTCTTCTGTCATCTCTTGTATAATATTTTGTAGAATCTGAGATGTAATAACAAGACTGTAACTAGAGAGCTTGTTTATATAATTTAAAAGCTCTGTCTTCTGTATATCAGAAAGCTTTTTCTCATATTAAAAAACTACTTCATTCTGAGTAAGTTACAAGTCTTTATACTATCAGTACAGAGTCTCTTGATTAACTAAGTACTCTCTTATAATTACAGTATAATTTGAAGTCTCTTGTAATTCAAGATCTTCAATTGCAAGTCTAATTAAGATGTTGTTGACCATGTGGTTGCATATTGAATATTGAACATTGGAGGAATTTTGGTGGTGGAAGATTTGGCTTGTTTAGTGGTGTGGCTTAGTGGTGAACTACCTTATTTGTAAAATGGTGTCTCACTACTAAGTATGTAGTGATGTTAAAGACTTTTGGTCCACACCTCTAGTTGTAAACTCATGAGTGCTTGAGATTTGGCTTCTTTTTAACAAAAACTAGTGATTTCTCACCAGTTGTTGTAGGAATTCTATTTATTATATAGCTTAATTATACTCTGTGCATGGAGTATCTAAGTGCCTATGACTGGTTTGCCTGAATTACAAGGTAAGTTGTTTGCTAGCTTTGAAGAGAAACACACCTTTCACTTGCACTCATTAATTCTCTAGTGATGTTATGGTTGCTATCTTCATAGCCATGAGAAGTGATATTCAAAGGGGGAGAAAAAGAAAATCTTGTCCTTGAGCTCAAGTGCTTCAGGCACCAGTCATTGGTATGTACTATATCATAGGTACATATAAGTCAGTGTTGGTAAACAGTCCCTGAGTGGTCCTTCCTTTTGGAAAGCCTAGTATCATTTCATTGTGTTGTTCACCTATCGCCTATTTTGCTTTTCAACAACGACTATTTTCTTCTAATACACTAGCCTATCAAGACTTTGGGTGAACAAGAAGTCTTGGTTTATCTACTCTGTAAAGGAGACTGCTTTTCAAAGACAACACACCATGGGAAAGACAGGGTTCTGGGTTGAATGGGAACTTTGGGAGAAAATGTGTTTCGTAGGTTGAGTTCTTCGCCGCATCAATTTTGAAAGATGTTCTGACATCCAAACACAGGTTCTTGGCTGTCTGATTGTAAGCATAGCACGCGCCAATGCCGCCATATTGGGTATATTCATTCCGGTCCTGACATTTGAACAGGTTATAGTTCTATTATACGGGGCAGGGGTTCAAATTTACAATTCCTGGAGAATTCAGAAAGTGGCTGCTGCGGAAATGCAGTTAAGATCACACTGCCATGATAGGGCCGGGATTGAAGGCGCACAAGACAATGATATACCGTTTGGGTCACGAGCAATTGAAAGCGGGGTTGAGGTGGAGGGTATCTGGATTTCCAACTACAATACTCCTCGAGGGACCCCTTTACCCCCGGCAACCCCCGAAGAGACCAGACCCCCAAGCCCAAGGCCAACCCAAGTGCTCAGCTTAGACTCTCCCGCTTTAGCTTTGAACCGCTCTAGTTAAGCTTCTTTTTTTTTTTTTTTTGGTGGGGGGGGGGGTTGAGTTCAAATATCCGGATTTCGTAAATACAATCATGCATGACACTAGTGCATTGAATATTTTTCCAAAAGGTCTTGTTGAGGGCTCACTATAAACTCCTGGATGTCAGCGCGACCCAAACAAGCAGTAGCTCCAAACAGAAGTATAAGTGCCTAAGAATATGCATTGTTAGTCATGGTTTGTCCAGAGCAGGCAAAGTTTTATAAGTGGGAAGCCTCCATCCTAATATATATTTTCAAGTCAGCGCAACACGAACGTAGTCGTGTATGTATGTATCTCCAAGGGACGAATATTTTCGCTCAGCCAGACCTCATGTATCCTCAGTTCGTGATAATTCAAAAGAAGGGGGGTCACCAGATCAATATGGAGTTCTGGTAGATTGAACTGTATCAGAAATCAACTGGAGAGGAAGGCCGCCTTAATCTGCTTCCAGGGCTGTGATTTTAAATCCTGGGCTGATACATGATGGTGAAATATCCAAATCCATACTGTGATGGTCATGATATGAGAGCATGTAACACAATTAGCCCCAACAATAGCTCTTTGCATGGCCTGGATGGCTGACTAGCTAGATTACAGGATCTAGACATTCCTAAACTACACAAAGGTGCAAGGCTCACCAACATTCACAAGCTACCCTTGTAGATACAAGTGAGATGCAGGTAAATCTTGAGTATGAACTGCGGGGATCAACCCAAGTTGTCAGCGGACAGGATTAACGCGGAACAATACTTTAGATCAAGAGACCGCCAGTTGCTCAAATCCAACCTCACTGTTTGGCGAGAAAGGAGGAACTGGTCTAGGAGCGAAAAAGGTTAGATCGGCCGCAGACATCATCGAATCCTTTAACTTACGATCAATGTTGATGGCTTCGAACCATCGTATTACCTCGCCGTCGTTTTCATCCTTTGCTTTCAAAAGACCGGTATCGGGCTGAACGAGGAAAACCGGCGCCAAGGAGCGCATTTTCAAGTGCGTTGCGATAACGCTCGAGAATCTGTCCCCTTGAGCAACAAAATCTGATGGACGACGTTCTAGAGGCCACTACAGTAGATCGCACACGGCCGTTAGCTCCATAGGGGCGGTAATGTTGTAAGCACAAGGTGTGGTATTGGACAAACCCTGGTGGCATATTCTCCGTGTTCCCAACTATAAAAGAGCCATGACATTCGTTCAACACAGTTTAGTAAAATAAGTGACGCCAAAAAGGTCCGAAAATTACCCTCCTTCTGTCTTTGGAGCAACCTTTGCTCTATCCGATTTAAGACGGCCTTGCTAGTCTTTGCAGCCCGCTTTTCTGCTGCGGCTCGAAGCTGGGAGCAGATAAGCGAATATGACTCGATTCCGTCTCCGCCAGTGATAGGAATGTGCCATCCATTCGAGCTCGAAGTTAGGGGTTGGAGGGTTGCAGGCGGAAGTGTTGGATTGAAAAAAACCCTCCAGGGCAGAGGACCAACAATTATTGATGTGGCCACCCATAAATCGAGGACCCCTGCAAGTAGTTCATCCTGGTTAAGCGTCAGTGTTTGCAGTACACGATCATCTTAGCCTCTTATGTTGCCCAAGCAAGAACATTTCGTTAGATGGACATTTCATACTTACCTGGCTTGCTTTGCCGAGTTCTGCTGCTAATAATAATGTCTGTTGCATAAATACTGATTCTTCGCTTTCAAAAAACCGATGCGACACCTTTTTCATATAATCATCCAGCTTCCCACTTAGCTCTTCAACTTCTCCATCCAAAATGTGAATATTTTGTGGGTGTGCACCCAGTTCTGTATTATGTCCAGTGAGTGGCAGCTGTGGATCCGGATTGGATATACTTGGTTTTTGTGCACACAGGGTTCCAAATGTAACAAAATATGTTGGATCTTGCTCAAAATGGGTTACTTCAATGCGGCCGGTTGACAATTCGAAATGCACCTGGTTTTTGAGATTATTAATATCATGATATATGAGAACGGAATGCAAGGCTATATCTCATTAGTCCTCTTCTTCCCACTGCCCGATGGAAGATATCTTACCAACTGAATAAGCTTCAAAGCGGGTCATAAGTCGGGTCCTAACGCAACATTCCATCCAGACACGCGGATTTTGTAGGCTTCTGCACTGAGAGCATGGGGTACCAGGAGAACACTACAAACAGACATCTCAGTTGTATGGCGAGCAATATTTGGTGCTGAGCTCTTACTGTCTTCTTCAACATCCGGCACCGAAGGCAAGCGCCCATTTTCCGAACCAGCTGAACTTCTTTTCGACGTTCTTCAGAAAAGGCGGACCTAGACTTATGCTTGGTGACTCGACTAATTGCCTTCGAAACGGAAATTGGTTCGTGGCTCTGCGGGTTGACATTGATAGCTATTGGCCTAGGATATGCTACATAGCATTGTGCATTGTCGTGGGCATCATGGTTAAACTGGGTAATATGTTGCTAAGCTGAATCAGCAATGAGCAACCGAAGATAAAACTGGCATAGGAAGTTGTTTTCTATACACATCGCAACATAGTGAGGAAGCTTACATCGGAATCTAAGTGCTCAACTGTATCCTCTGGGACAATTTCGCTTGCAGATGCCGCAATGAGTGAAAGTTGCGAGGAGTGTCGGAGATCGGACAATGAATCTGGATTTAGCTGCATAGAATCGGATACGCAGACAGACGCATGAGGTTCTTCTTGGATCGGCGAAGATTGAGATGTCTGGATCGATGTTGCGGTGGGATGTTCATTGAGGTCTGCATTACAGCTCAGTCACAGTTAGCTTGACAGCTAGGCTTCATGAACTATAAGGCTGATGAAAGGCTTTCAACATAGGGCTCACCGATAACGGCACTACCTGGGCATTCTAGCGCTGGGTCAACAACGACGCCCTTCAGGCCTTGAGAGCGTGTTACCGCTTGTCCGGTCTCGTTTGTCGCACCAACTCGTCTTGAAGCTTCAGCAAGGACGTTCAACCCATCCAGCCCACCAGGATTAGTAAAATTTGCAAGTCGGCTAGAGTAAGGAGAAGTATTTGCTCGTGCCCGATCACTACGGCTATTTCCATGTGCTTTCCCAGGACCGGTTGTGTTTGAAGAGAGTCCATGCAACAGGTGAATCACGCGCTGTTTGTCCAGGATGGAGATAGCCTGACAGCTTTTGGTTAGATGACCCAGCAGGCTATCTGGTCTACCTTTGGGAAAGTTTTCTCCACACAGCTTGCACGTGTGCTCATAACGATTGCTCGAGTCTGGTAATTTATTTCCTCGATGGAAAAATTCGGAAACGATGGCATTCGGTTTCCGACCCATTCCAAACAAAACGAAAAGGTCGAGGGAAGTATCTCTGGAAAGGAGATAGTTTTATGAAACGACGTTGAACTACGAGTGGATTACCCGTCGCACTCGCGGAGCAGGACATGAAGCAGTACTTCTTGCTCAAAGTAACCCATATGTTAGAGTATCACAAGATGTCTTCTAGCGAAGAGCAAAAATAGCCGCAATAAATGAGGGAAACAGATATAGCGGATGATAAGGGACTTGTGTGACCTTTTGCCGTCAACAAATTTCCATTTGAGAGTCCAGGGTAATAAGAATTCCTGTCCATTCGGAGTACCAGACTGGCAAAAACCTGATGCTCTGAAGCGGTCTGCATAGGGATCAAGATAAACTAAATGGTTTCACCCTAACCACTTAGGGATTAGCACTATTTATGTTGGGGTGCTCACACTTTGAACATGTTTTAAAGTGAGGGTCTATGAGGCTACTAACCATATGCAGAAGCTAGAGGAACCATGGAACCTGAACTATTCTGTATTTGTGCTCGCTGCTCGCCAACCTTGTAGGTGTTAGAGCTCAGCTAAGCGCTATAGAAAGAGGATCCCTGTTGCCAACTAGGTAGATATAATAACAAAATACTAAGACAGGCTCGAGAAAGAAGGTTCAGAGTGAGGGCTCACTATACACACAATAAGCTTCCATGTTGGATAAACATTTATCTCTTTAGCGAATCCTCTGTCTAGAGTTTAAGGCTTCACCCTGGAACAACCTTCTACCAGCTCACCAGCTTAGTTAGAAGAATCATGATTCTCATATCACTTTTTTACAAGCTTCAGGCATGCTCTTATGCTAGCAGATCATCAGCTGTCTTATCTGAAAGATATTCTTAAGCTGTCAAGCTTTCTATTATTGCTCTAACTATTTTGATAACTCAAGCTTTGTAGAATTTACCACATGAAAAACACAAATCTTGTGCAGGCAATTCTTCAGTTTCTAGGCAGAATGTTATATATAATCTGAATCAAACTCTAGCTATTTGATTCAGTATTAAAGCTTTCTTCTATAGATTTAGCTTATCAAAATCTTATGTACTTTCTATTTATTTTCATTATAAAGTATAATAAAGTCAGAAGAATCTATACTCTAGCTAGAAAAAAAGTTATCTGCAGTTTTTTTAAGATTGTTCAGAGAGAATGCAAAGTTAATCTTTATAAAGCTTAGTAATTAAAGCTAGTAATCATTATCTATCTTATTTACTATCTTGATGTTATGAACATAGACCTAGACCAACCAAGCATTGGACAATGTCAGATGTTCAGGGGTATTCATATGACCCCAATGCTGAACATATAAGAATCACATGATTTGCATGGATCATGGGAACCCCAGTGTTCAGTCTCTGAGTGAGGAAACCTTTATATTTTATGCATGACTCTCTCTCATCAGTTGCAGGCATTGTATCTACTTAGCTCTTTTGTACCTCTAATCCTGGGAAAATCTATATGATCTATAACTGGTTCATCTAACATTCTGAACACTCTGATATATGATTGCCTAAGTTAGTATGATGCCATCAAGACCCATGAGATGAACCACAACAACACCCCATGTTGTGGACCTGACAGAGATAGACATCAATATAGAGGAGATGAATATTGATGAAGGTGCTGGTAGCAGTAGAGCTACCACCAGCAAGACACCAGCAGATGATATGAACAATAAAGATACATCTCTCAATATATTGAATGAAATCTGAAGAGAGAAGATCTTTGAAGAAAAGAAGACACATCTGCAAAAGAATCTAGCAGACATATGTG